TTGTGGTACAGCAAAACGGTAAACAAACCGATCGAGATGGATGTAAACGAAGACATACATTCTGTGTTGGCAACAATTCCCGAGATTGAGGATTTTCACTCTCTGCTTTGTTTTCTGTTGTGCCGACAATTACTTGGACATGACTGATCCGGCGCATTACTATGTCACGACCAAATAGCAGTGATTGGCTAAATTATAAAAGTAAAAAAAAGGAGTAGGTAGACAGAGATGCGTAAGAGCTTTGAGAACTTTAGCCATACCCCCTTTTTAGCCGACTAATCAATCTTTTCGTCGTCCAAAAATGTCTTTAGTCTACTGCAGCCCTTGAGTCTGTCTTCTAAACAGAGTCATTAAGTCAAAGCTCACTCACTTAACCCCAGGGCATCCGGCATAAAGATTTGCCAGATAAGCCCTGAGCAACTGTGATTTTTTTCCTTTTAAATCTAGAAAAAACAATGTTATCTAAATAGCAAAAGTTACAAAGCAGAACAACAAACAGGCTATAATAATATATAGTAGGTCTAAATACTATAATGGTACATGCAGTTTCACTTGTCAGATGTCATTTCTCCAAAGGCTTCAAAATAAAACAGTCATTTGTATTTTATGACTAAACTCTGAGTACGTGCCTTTAATTCGGAGCCACAAATGAGGAGGAATTTCCACATCACACGGTAATAAAGTCTTCATGAGTGTTTCCTATTTGCCCTAAAACAAACCATTTACCAGAAACTCTGCTAATGACATGCATGCAGATGATACGGCCCATTTCACACCTCTTAAAATATCTCATGTCTGCTTTATTTGTGGCAAGAGAACTGACTTGTGGAAAAGCTCGGCAAAATTTATTTTTTAAAATGTATGATTAAGTTATTTTATTAGAGGATGGACTGATTTGTACGTTAGAACAGTTACCTGCTAAATATAACTTTATCTAAGAGCATGCTGTTGTGTCTTTGAGCAAGGCACTTCACCCAGCTTGTATAGTTTGACTGTGGTGTGTGTGCGTGTGTGTGTTGAAGTAGGAGGGACCGAAGGCGCAGATTGGCAGTCTCTCTTCCACCATTACCTCTGGGGCAGCTGTGGCTACAAAAGGATCTTACCACCATCAGCCAGGGAGCGAATGAATAATACACAGAATTGTATTAGACTGTATTGTTATTATTATTATTATTATTATTATTATTATTATTATTATTATTATTACACACAACTGGGAGCATAAACTTGACACAACAAACATGGCTGTGTGTCGTCAGCAATTACATGTTGGTGAACATAAGCACAACATATAGAAACAATACAATACAATACAAAAAAAGTGCATTTAGGAAGAGAAAAGGACCATAGCAAGGGAAGTCGAGTTCATTCAGCCTGAGTTCATAAAGTCCAGGGGTATTTCACATATGTAGGAGTACACTTTTTGAGGTTTAGGTCCATTTATATGTTTTAGAGAGCTTTTATATATAATTTGAGTTCGTTTCTAAAACAAGCAAAGTTAGGGGGACATTTGTGGATGTAAAATTTGGCAAGACATAATATTAAGTTTACACAAAATTCTTCTTTTTTATTTTGTAGTAGTACATCAAAAATGGTAACATCTCTGTTTTTTTAGACTGTATAAAGAAGTGGACTAAAGGAGTGTGACATCACCAGAGGTGGTGCTACCATTAGGCAAAAGTAGGCAACTGCTTAGGGCCCCCCAAACAATTGCCCTCAGTACCGCTAATGGACGAGGCCTCAGAGCAATTTAATTTTCTCTTAATATGACATTAAATGAGAGCATTTTACTTTTAAACAAAAAACAGAATCAAAATAATATCTGATTGTCAAATGTGTTTTAACTGTCAAAGCATCCCCCGTTTCACATTAGAGTGGACTAGTCAGCTTGACCCTGATTTGGACATAATCATAGCATAATCATGAAATTGTACCAGCAAAAAAAATAAAACTACTTTCAGCTCTGGTTATCTAGTAGGCTGCCTAACTGATAAGACAAGTTTACAGTCAACCCTAATTCAAATAGAGATGTGCATGTCTTAAGAACAATGGGGAACAACAAAAACAAACAAACAACAAAACAGTGGATTATAGTGAGGGCCCCAGCTCAAGCTTGCCTAGGGCCCCCAAATTGTTAACTCCCCCACTGAATGTCACCCATAGCATTTGGCATTTAGCTAGAAATAAAAAATAAAAATGAAATAAATGAAATAAAAACACCAGGATCATGTAGAGCGTTTTAATATGAACATTTTAAGACCAAAATTGCGAGGCACACTGCTGCAGTTATAGGGAGAGTGTAGCAATTTTTCAGTGTAAAGTCAACTGGAAACAGAGTCAAGGGAGCAGGAAATGCCCCCATGAACACTTCCTATTTATATATACAGTCTAGACTTTAAACGTGTGGAAAAGCACAGCATTTGCAACTTGCAAATAGCCTTGTCTTTCTTTGCATACTGTTTGTTGCTCTCTTCTATTGAGTTTCAAGAGAGTTGCATAAACAAGTGAATTCCCCCACTAAATAAAAATCAGCATTTAAAAGTCATATATTACACAAAATAAACTCTTGTGGGTTTTAAGTCATGTTAGAATATTATTACCTCCTCAAAAACATATCTGGAGTTGATTTTGTTTCATTCACACATTTGCGTAATCCATTATTATTAATCTGTGTACATCTCCAAAGCTCAAATTGCTTTGTTCCACCCTGTGATGTCATGTAGTGGTACTTATCAAGTTAACAGCTTCTTTTACCTTTAGGCAACGTAGCTGGGTATGTTGAGAAACGAATATTTCCCTCCCTCCGTTTTCCAAAATAACATTGTGGACATAGCATCATTTTCAAAAAAGTTTTAATTTACATCAACCTGCATAAATACACCATCGAGCACCATTATAACTAAACCAAGCCTCTGAGCAGCACATGGATTAGATTCAAACCATTTATTTCATTACAGTTGTAAGTATGACTCAAAAATACCTTGAAAAGCGTGCATTACTGAGCAGGCTCGCCTCTCCACAGATCTGTTAAAGAAGTGGCAAAATTGCTTACCTCCAAGCCTCATTGGTCTCTGGTCATGGATATGAAACATCAGCTGTGCAAATGAAACACATGAAAAGTGTTCCCACCAGAAGGAGTGCAACTGCTGCTCTGAATGTTTCCATGATGATCATCATCATCAGAGGAAAAGGTAAACGTCGGTCACACTTTTGGCGCGTCAGCTCCTAAAACTCTGTTTATCTCACTTTACATGCAAACGTCAAACTCTAGCCGGAGTTGTTAGAAAGATTCATTTTCAGAGGTGAATTCACTGTTTGCGTGTAAAAGATGGATACAAACGAAGGGAAATGTCTCAGTTTTTAAAAATACCTGTGTATGTGTAAATGGGACCTTAGTTCAGTAGAGATTGGCAATTCCAGGTCTGAAATCATCCAAATGGTTCTAGTAAAGGTGTATAGCATTTAAAACAAAATTGAACAATCCCTGTATTACCACATGACATCACAAGGTGGAACAAAGTGTTTTCTGTTTAAGAGAAGAACTCAGCCTAAATATGCAGGGTTTATTTCTTCAATCAGCATAAAAACACACACAGTGGCATGATCCTCCAGCTACAAGAGCATAGTACAAGGTTACCCACTGAACCTGTATGTTTAACCGCAGCGACACAGAAGAATGGGTCAAATGCACATCACAAACCTCCCTATGGATGCAATAACAAATAACTTTACTTAAACATAAGAATTCTCTCTCAGTAGAACCAAAATTGCACGTAAAATTCATCTTTGTTACTAGCATTACTTCAACCACAACCGCTCCAGATCTTATTAAATGTTACTCTTTCACTGCTGATGAACCTTAAATGCCCTCTTATGAAAACTCACTCCCCACGCCAGACAACTTAATAGACCTGGCTGCTTGTAATTTTAATAGCCAGCGTAATTAGCTTGCTTATTATAACCATTCTAGTCATAAATCACGCTAAAACGTACATACATTTCCTGTCATTTAAAACGCATGTTGTTCCAAGTGTCAGAGTTAGAGGAAACCCAGATCGGCCTGAACAAACAGAAAGTGAGCTGTTGATTTTAACGATTCATGACGTTTTTATTATCGTAATTAATTGGCGTTTTTCAAGTTAGCATATTTGAATCAATGCGACACATAAAAACGTAGTGGAGCAACTTTTATTTTTAATTACTGTCAAATGGTGCTGGCTTGTAATAAGGACTTGGTGGGATTTGTAATTAGCGGTGAGGGGTGGGGCCTTCAGTCTTGTCAGGGTAAAGTATTATAACAATATTTTGTGAATTGGCTGCTTATGTGATTATGTGTAACGAATGAGGCTTATTTCTCAGTTCGGTGCAGGCCTATTAAACGTGATGGATGTGGGCGTATTACTCTGGTATTCATGTCTGGTTAGCAATGTTGTACTGCTAAAGAGTGGTAGTGGTAGAATCCAGCAAAATTCACAACAACGAATGTGCTTTGGTGATAGATATAACCAGGTTACAGTCTGACTAGACATTTAAACTCCGCCCACAACCGCATTTTAAATAGAGCCGCGAAACTGGGGAGGACCTGGAGGAGTAAAGAAAAGAGTGATGGGGAGAAGGGGCGGAGTCTGGGGGTATAAGGAACAGTGTGATTGGTCAAACAGGTATCCACACAAACTCCGCTCCCTGTAGTCAGGTGTGTGTTTTCAGAAACACCTGGCTGTAAACAGGGCAGTTTTATGTCACATCACCAAGTACTTAGAATTGCAGTTGCCACTAATTTGTACACATTTTTGACTAGTACTAGCACTAGGAATAGTAGACAATGCTATTAAACCATGTGCAGTTTAATAGTGAAAAAATATTAGATTTAGTGTTCAATTCCACTTAAATAGTTCTGTATTTACTACAGTACTATAGTCACATGACATAAAGTAGTGCACTGTCCCTTTAAGAACAAAGCACATGGTGTTGGATTGCGGAACTAACAATTCACTCAGATGTAGTTACCATCACAGCAGGGTGTGTCTGTGCGTGAACAGGTAAGATGTGTTTTTAAAAGTGTTTAAAAGTATACTTTTAATGTGTGGAGTACTGTAGTAATGCTTTTTAGTCAAATTTTAGTCAGATTTCTAGAAAATATCAGCACTAAAAACTCTGAGGACTCTGAGGATCACTATTTAAATCATCTAATTGTGAATATGCTCACAACAGGAATACTTTCAGTTACAAATTATACTAATAATACTATCATAATACTAATGTCCTTATTTATTTTTTTTTTTTTTTACTAACTTTGCTTTGACTTAAACACCAAATTTGGTTGATCTAATGTCATACTGCCAGTGGATCCAGTTCTACCAGTGTGGGATGTACCTTTATATAACAAGTGAAACTGAAATGGCATAGGCACAATGTGACAGTAATGGCAGTGCCGCTCGATGGTGTTTTTGTTCTAAGATTTTCAACTTTACATTAAGACATGTCAGTAAAGCTTAATCTGAGAAAAAAACTAATTATGTGACTATCTAATTTCACTTTCCAACTTTGACAACAACTTTGACTCTTTTGTAGAGATCATGGACAGTGCCCCAGATGCCAAACCCCCTTCACCTGAGATCCTTGAGCTCTTACCTCCCCCTGAGTTCACAGACGGAGAGTTCTTCCATGTGTTTGTGAGCTACAGCAGCTCTGACCTTCACTGGACACATGCTCTGATCCAGCAGCTGGAGGACAGCGGTCTGAAGGTGTGCTATCATGAAAGGGACTTTACTCCAGGACGTTCCATCCTGGAGAACATGTCCGACTGCATCCAGCAGAGTCAGAAGGTTCTGCTGGTCCTGAGTCAGGAGTTTGTGAGCAGCCGCTGGTGTCTGCTGGAGGCCAACATGTCCATGTTCAGAGACTGTCTGCAGAGGAAGCCCATAGTGCCAGTGCTTCTGCAGAATGACCTGCCCATCCCTCTGCACCTCAGTCACCTCACCTACCTGGAGGTCACCCGCCCCGACTTCAGCCAGGAGCTGCTCCGAGTTCTGTGCACCCCCAACCACCAACTCCAGAACTCCACTGTGGTGCCGTACCAGCGACCAAACATCTACAATGGCAAAGTTCTTCAGCCATTTAAAGCTATTGATGAGAATGTAAATATCTTTAACTGTGGAGAGTGGAGCACACTAGTTCCAGACCAACTACGTCTGATCATTAAAGACCAAGCTCTTTACAGGGAGGCCATAAATATAATCAACAGAGTAAACAAGGAAAAAGTCAGACTCAAACTTTCCAATATGGCATTTGTTGGTATAGGGCTACTTTTAGGGCTCGACCTCACAATTTGTGCCTTGTCCTTAACTTTTAGTATTCTTGACATAGCTAACAATAGAGTAGGAGTAATAACTCTTTTAGAGGGTCTTGTTGTTGTTATTTTTTCGATAGTGACTTGGAGATTAGTAAAGTTTCTGTACAATAAACCCTATCGCATTGTGGAGGAGCTGGAGAAAGCTGCATGTGAAGCAAACACTCTGCTGTATCAGGAACACATCCTAATGGGGGTTTTGAGCAATAAAGAACTCTCTCTTGTGTATGTGTCACTAGAGGCCTGCAGACAACAGCTCAGACACCAGTTCCCTGAGGAAGATGATGTTTTATGCGGAGCCCTACGAAGATTCTCTTCTTATTATGCTTATTATCTTTCTAAAGGGTACTTTCCATTTGAACCCTTTGACGCTGGTCATTTGGAGGACACTCTCTGTTTCTGTCAGTATGTGCCACATGGAAATCATAAGGTGAAGTTATCCAAAGTGACCTGGGACTAACTGAAAAAGTTGAAAGTATCATACAGATGACTTGTTTTTGTTGTTCAATAAAACATATATATTTTTAACAGTGTGCAATTGTGTTGTTTAGAGAGACTTAGTTTTACTTAAAGATATAGTATGTGGTTGCCTACTGCTCCTGACAAGTTTAACTCCAGTATAGAAGGATGGGTCAAACATCCCTATAGGTACAATAGTACATAATACATTAACTTGAACTTTAGCATTTAGTCTCGGTACAGCCAAAATCGTACATCTTTGGTGCTAACATTACTGCAGGCTACAACAACTCCAGATCTTATTAATCTACATGTTTTTACAGCACAGAAGACAAACAGAACACAGAACACTGTGGACGTGGGTTCAAGGGAGGTGTGTGTGTGTGTGTGTGTGCGGAATTATACATATTAGTGGGATCAAAATATAAACTTTTGAATTGGAAAACATGACTAAATATGTGAACTTGTGCTTAATATTTAAAGTGGTCCATAGCCTGTCCTCTCCGCCTCTTGGACAGTTTGTAAATATCAGACCTGCTGCTGTTTGAAACACCAGGGGGGCAGTCAGAGGAGACAGTGTTGTCCCACTGAGATGTGCGCCTGGACAGGCCTTCTTCTCAGTGAGAGCAGCAGAGCAGTGGAACCTAGTATCTGTGATTATTGGGGAAATTAAATCAAAATGTATTTATAAAGCGCTTTTCACACAGAACTGTATGTGCTTTACATGTATGTGCATTAAAAACAATCCCTCATGCCCTTCCACCCACTATCCTACCCTACACACACACACACACACACACACACACACACACACACACACACAGCCACATACAACACAATAATCCCCCCATTTAGTCAGAAACAAATGGCTGTAAGCAAGGCAGTCTCTCGTGATGTCACCAACTACTTGAAATTGCAGTTGCCAATGGTGCCAAGACACACAAATTTTTATACAAATTTGTATACATTTTTGACTCAGACTAGCACTAGGACTAGTAGACAATGCTATTAAACCATGTGCAGTTTAATAGTGAAAAAAGATCAGATTTAGTTTTCAGTCCCACTTAAATAATTTTGTATTTGCTAGTGTACTATACTCACATGACATAAAGTAGTGCACTGTCTTTTTAAGAACAGAGCACACGGTGTTGGATTGCGGAACAAACAATTCACTCAGATGTAGTAACTATCACAACAGGGCGTGTCTGCGCGTGAACGGGTAAGATGTGCTTTAAAAGTGTTTAAAAGTATACTTTTAATGTGTGGAGTACTGTAGTAATGCTTTTTAGTTTAGTCAAATTCCCAGAAAATATCAGCACTAAGTCTAATTCTGTTTTTTACTAACTTTGCTTTGACTTAAACACCAAATTGGCTGGTAGATCTAATGTCATACTGCCAGTGGATGCAGCTCTACCAATGTGGGATGGACCTTTATAAAACAACTGAAACTGAAATGACATAGACTCAAAGTGACAGTAATTGCAGTGCGGCTAGATAAGGGGTGTCCAAACTTTTTTCATCAAGGGCCACATATCTAAACAAAGATGAAGCAGAGGGCTGATTGAGAGCCACAGACTGGTGCTCAAAACAGTGAACACATTAAAATGTGTGCATGTGTAAACACGTTAGAATGAGCCATCAGTCTTTATTCAAGATCTTAAAACCACACACTTAATATTAAATATTAGCTTTACCAAGGTAGATTTTCAAAAAACTTGCAATAAAAAGTAAATTTTTAATTGATGCAAGGTCATTTGGGCCAATTCACCTGGAAGCCTAAGGGCCAAGAAAAATTTGTCTGGGGGCTGCATTTGGACCACGGGCCACAGTTTGGACATGCCTAGGCTAGATGGTGTTATGTTTTTTTTTTTGAGAGAGATTTTCAACTTTACATTAACACATGTCAGTAAAGCTTAATCTGAGAAAAACAAAATATGTGATCTAATTTCACTTTCCAACTTTGACAACAGCTTTGACTCTTTTGTAGAGATCATGGACAGTGCTCCAGATGCCAAACCCCCTTCACCTGAGATCCTTGAGCTCTTACCTCCCCCTGAGTTCACAGACGGAGAGTTCTTCCATGTGTTTGTGAGCTACAGCAGCTCTGACCTTCACTGGACACATGCTTTGATCCAGCAGCTGGAGGACAGCGGTCTGAAGGTGTGCTATCATGAAAGGGACTTTACTCCAGGACGTTCCATCCTGGAGAACATGTCCGACTGCATCCAGCAGAGTCAGAAGGTTCTGCTGGTCCTGAGTCAGGAGTTTGTGAGCAGCCGCTGGTGTCTGCTGGAGGCCAACATGTCCATGTTCAGAGACTGTCTGCAGAGGAAGCCCATAGTGCCAGTGCTTCTGCAGAATGACCTGCCCATCCCTCTGCACCTCAGTCACCTCACCTACCTGGAGGTCACCCGCCCCGACTTCAGCCAGGAGCTACTCCGAGTTCTGTGCACCCCCAACCACCAACTCCAGAACTCCACTGTGGTGCCGTACCAGCGACCAAACATCTACAATGGCAAAGTTCTTCAGCCACTTAAATCTATTTATGAGGTTAAAAATAACTTAGATTGTGGAGTGTGGAGCACACTAGTTCCAGACCAACTTTGGCTGATCATTAAAAATCGAGCAGTTTACAAGGAGGCCATTAATATATTCAACAGGGTAGACAAGGAGAAAGTCAGATTTAAACTTGCCAGGGCCTATACAATTACACATGTCGGTTTAGTCTTATGTTGTTTATTAATTTTGGGCCTTGTTAGTTTATTAATATTGCGTTTTACTTGGGACATAGCTAACAAAAGAGTTGTATTAATTATTTTGGAAGGTCTTCTTATTATTGTTTTCTTTGCAGGAGTTGTGAAATTAAGCATAATTTGGCACAATGAACCCCACCGTATTTTGACAGAGTTGAGGAAAGCTGCATGTGAAGCAAACACTCTGCTGTATCAGGAACACATCCTAATGGGAGTTTTGAGCGTTACAGAACTCTCTCTTGTGTATGTGCTACTGGAGGCCTGTAGACAACACCTCAGACACCAGTTCCCTGAGAAAGATGATGTCTTATGCAGAGCCTTACGAAGATTCTCCTCTGGTTATGCAAATTGTCTTTCTAAAGCGTACTTTTCATTTGAACCCACTGACCATGGTCATTTGGAGGACAGTGTGTGTTTCTGTCAGTATGTAATACATTTTTATCATGAGATGAAGTTATCTGATGTGACATGGGACTTTTGAAGTAGCTGAATGTATTATCTAGTTTGCTTGTTTTTGTTGTTAAATAAAAATGCATTTTTGTACAATGGCTGCTGCTCCTGGTATTCAGGGATGGGTTAAATACATAGGAAAACTTCTTTAAGATTTCAATAACACAAACCTCACTTTAACTTTAGCATTTTCTCTCTATATAACCAAAATCACACATCTTTGTTGTTAAAATTATTGCAGTCTACAACAACCCCAAATCTTACTAATCTACTTGTCTACTTTATTCATGTTTCTAGGGTTGCTTCTATAGGTTTGTTTTCAATATAATGTACCTGCACTGGTAGGTCAAAGCTCATTCATTGCCACATTGTTGTAATCAGTGATCAGATTTATTCAATTTATTCCCACTGATGCATGCTCTCAAACCCAACTTTACACCAAAAGCACCCATTTTTTTCCCCAAAAGAGCATCTGTGCTGCTTGGTCTTCTGTTACCATGACAACAGGATTGTACTTCCAGGTCACAGCTTTACGGCATTAAAAAATAAATTAATGAACAGTATAAAAAGAACAATAACTGTTTTGGAGTATTGGTCCATGGTGAATTAATATTAGTAACTTAGTTCAAATATGGATCTAAACTGGACCTAGATACATTCTGAATCATTATCTAAAAATTGTCTCAGAGCAAAGTGGACACGGGTCCAGGGGAGGTGCATGTGTGCAGAATGATACAGATGATACTGACATACACCACAGTAGGCAGTAATCAAGAAAACAGTTTAAAATATGTGCCAAAGCTGCCCCATGTTGAGGTGTAAATGCCTGCTGTAACATCCTCCCGTACAACTCAAGTACTGGTCTAAAGAAGTAAAACAAACAATAATTTCGGACAGATAGAAGACTTTTAGACAGAGCAGCACACAGCTTACCGTATTTTCCACACTATAGGGCGCACTCTTAAGCCTCCAACCCCATCAAAAAACGATCACGCGCCCCGCAATCCAGAGCGCCCTAAACACGAATCCACTCGGGTGTCCCAGCACGACTTCAGTAAACTACAAAGCCGCACCACTCGCAAGCGCACGCAAACACGCACAGAGCAGACAGCGACCGCACAACGAAACACATCCGCAGCCACACTCATCACTCCACGCGGACGAGGAATGGGACCGAGGAACGAACCGAAAAAGGGAGTACGATGTGCCACTTCTAGACACAACTGAACAACTGAGTCACTGCGAACACGCCGACAATCCGTTGGTCCCAGACAGCACCCTCCCTACACGCCACAACTGAACAAAGCCCAGAGTCACCGTGAACGCCACAAACAAAGTCCCACTGACCCATCCAACTGTTGTGTTTCGTTTAAAGTCCGGTGCAGTTTATTTGTGAAAAAAGCTTGAAAATAGACCATTCAATGACAGTGCGCCTAGTGTCTGTCCTAACAGGTGTCTGGGTCCTGATAAGACTACATTCCCCTCTCTTCATCCTGCTGCTGCACAGTGCCTGTATACTCCTCATACTGTAAGTGTGCTGCGATGGATAAGGTCCTTCACCCGCTCCTATGAACATGATGAACGAGCAGCACTTGGGCCTGCATGTGTTTCCGCCTCTGTGTCTTCTCATACTCCACATTCTGATTCTACTCTGAAAAATGAGCTCTTCTCTGCTGTTCATTACCACTGTTTCCCCGGGCAGAGCTCCACCATGCATATTCTTACACTCTGGGGTCTAGTGGTGCCACGTTAGTGCGGGTGGGAGTCCATGTCAGCGTACATAACTCACTTATGGAGACAGCCGTGCAGTCAAATCACACAGAGCAGTAGTTGGTGTAATGTTATGGTAAAATAGGGGATGTGTC